GCTCGAATCGGTACGGTGCGGTCATGCTTACTTTACAATGTGTAAATTTCAAGCATATTTTATATGTGTTTACGATAAATGTTTTGCTTTTCTTTGTTTCCCTTTAAACACTTTTGTATTTTTTACGTTCTTTTTATTCCGCTTCCAACATCTAAGGAAACGTTCTTTTCTATCTTAAAATTGACAATCGTTATCGATTTTTATTATGTAAGTAACTTATTATTTTTAACCGACTTTAAAAAAGGAGGAGGTTATAATCAATTCGACTGTATGTTCTTATTTTTTTTCTTTTTTTTGTATGTATGTTACGCGATAACTCCGGTATTTGTGACCTATTTTCATGATTCTCTTTTTTGTTGGAAAGGGGGTACTTCCATAGTGGTCCCATTTCATTTTGAACAAAAATCATCCACCTCGAAGGGTGGCTGTTCACGCATGAAGATTCATTTTTATAAATAGCGCCTAACTTTAATTTAGGAGCAATTACTTTAATGGTTGATTTTGCTATTTCTCCAATTCAATGCTTTTTTCTCTCAATATACTTTGAGTAGTGAGAACCGATTTTTATTATCTCCAGTGTCAAGTCCTGTATAGTGGCGAACTAGGGGATATTTCAATAAAACTTAGCAAATAGACGTAATTCCACGTACTTTTGAGGTCGGTTTTTTTAGTACTCTGTACTGATTATTGTTTGTTTTTCTCCTTTCGCGCTCCTCATAGATATCTTAATTAACGATCTGTGCTAATTTATTTCATGAAATGATCTGGTACACAACCGTGAGTCCGAAGCTCCTGCCAGAGAGATTCTGGCTGAAAATCAGTGCTGTGCAAAGCAAGTCTGCACAGCATATAGTGAGTTCAGAATCCTCGCCACATATTTGTATCCATAGCTATAGTATTTTGTATGTTATAGTTACTATTTGTATGTAAGAATTTTCATTTGTATATTTTGTGTATTTTTTTGTGTATGTGTATGGATTCCCGCGTTTCGCAATGCTCAACCTCCGCCCGACGCGTGAATACGCCGTCCAGCATTCTGGGAATATGTCGAACCGCCTACTCTTTGTATTTGCGTCACGCTTTTAGACGCAATACTGCCGTCTGCGGAATCCCTGAAGTATGGTTTTTGTTTATTTATTTTATGTAGTTAGGTTAGAGCGCGAACGCGTAATGGAAGGGCCGGTCCCTGCGGAATTCTAACGGATAGGACTCCTCCATACCTCGGCACGCTTCAGGATCAAGCGATCATTTAATTTGACTACCTCTATGGTCAAGGGGCTTGTATACCGGTTTTCATGGTCGCCATCTCTGAGGTCCCGAGTTCGATCCCCATCCGGGTCAATATAGAAAACTGTTCCATATTGTCTCGGGTCTGGGTGTTTGTTATACTGTCGTTGTTTCCGATTTCCATAACATAAGTGCTTTAGTTATTTTGGGATCAGAGCAAAGTATGTGGTTGTCTAATATATATTCATTATGCAGACGATAATGATAATCCATATAAGTCACGATTAGTATAGCAGTGCTGAAGCGTACTGACAAATGCGGTCGAATTCTTATTATATTTTCTTTTTTTTTGGGTTCCTCTACCATAGGAGGTTGGATCAAGGCAATCAAGACATTAGAGGCCGACGCTCCAAAGAGCGTTATTGCAGCCAAACCAATTCCTAAAATTCTTTAACCAGTAGACCAGCCGTCTATCAACATTTAGTTTGGATGATAAACTGGATTGCTCCAGCTTTCGAACTTAACGTTCGTCGTGTCATGGATTATTAATAAAAATAAAATAAGGTGCAACAAGCACTAATTTTAGTACCTACCATCTATGTACTTATGTGTAAACTCTAACCGGTTATGCGAGTCGACTGCATTCACTGGCTTTATGTGGTATAATGTTACCTTGACAGTGAAGCCTGTGATCGCGTTAACTCTGTACTTAGACAACGTGACTTATGTATGACCTTAATTCTTTCACTACTAATGTACACATAATAGGGACGAAATAACTTCTTCGGGTCTAAATCGCGCATACAAAGATGGGCAAGTGACCGGGTTTTAACCCGGCGCTTTCAAAATCGAGGGCAAAAACTATTTACAACTAAATATTTGTTATAGGAAATGAAACCATTTTTCCGGATTTAAATCGCGTATATTTGTTTTTCAAACAAGCGAAGCGAAGTATTTATACCCGCGTCAAAGAACATTATAGTGATGTCAAACACCGTCGCGTAAACAAGTCTGCAATCTGCGAACATGTTATGGATAAACCTACACATTTAATGAAATTTGACAAACCCCAGGTCCTTGCAAGTCCATTATCTACCCAGGAAAATGCGAGAGGTCATTCAAATTAAAAAACATCCTAATTTCAACAGGGAAGACGGTTTCTCCGTACCACCAGTTTGGGATCCGGTATTTCCTCTGATGAAGTATCCCAAACAGACATAAGACTGCAGTAGTAATTAATATGTTTTCATTTATTATAATTTCCATTATCAATTAATAATAAAATTAACTTAATAAAAATTCACATTGTTACAATAAAATAAATTGTAAAACAATGTAACGTAAATTGGAATATTTCTTGTAAAATTAATCATCTTAAAAATCTTGTAATCTCTTTGTATATTTGTTGTAAATAGATTTTTGTACAAAATTTATTGACATTATTACAAAATGTTTATTGATATCTGATATAGACGATTCGATTTACCTTTCTATTTAATCAGTTTCCTTAAAAATCGTATTGAAATAAAAATCGTTAGATCGTATGCACTCTTATATTTATTGCTTATAATTAATAAATTAATTAATAAATAATAAATCTCGACGCCTAGCAAAGTAACATAATAACAATCACACATGAATTATGTTACGTTACCGTAATATACTCCATTGGGTCTGTTATCTATTTATTTATCATCGTTATCGACAATACGTATTATATGTGTCGTTATGATAACCGATGAATACTTGGATTCAGAACTTTATTATCTGTAATGATAACGTTTTGCATGGTGACTGTATGTCTGTCAGAATTAGATCGATCACACTTTTTTATTGCCTGGCACTTCACGGTTAGCCATCGCCATAGCAAAACCAGTAGGACTAGCAATGGGCTAGCATGACAAGGCACGACTTTCGTAAGAGCGACATAAAGCGCGAGATCTCTATGCGAGAATAGCAGTATATGGCTCTCGCGCTAATCGCGCCCTGTCATGCTAGCCCTACAGAAAACTTAACGCGCAATAAACTGGGATGGAAAGGGATATAATTTTCGAAGATATATAAGGAAGAAATATAAGGTCTTGGTATGTAAATTCATCTAAATGATAATTTATCACTTAGACTCATTGTCTTGTCTCAAGCTAGCTGTGAAAAGCCGATAATATAAAAATAATTTCAATAGTGGGTCGAAAAGTTGTGCTTTCTTTAGCGGTGAATTTTTTCTTTTAAATTTGTACAAACTCGGTTTATAACTTTACTAACAAAGAGCTTATGAATTTTGTAGTAAATTACAAATACTTAATGTAAGAAAGAAATTGTTAAATTAAATAATGAATTTACTGCAATATTACAATTTGTATTTATTTACGACAGATTATTGTAAGTGTTTTAACAGTTTTAAAAACCGTCATGCGTGCATAAATACAAAAACTCGCCATTTTCGTGCAAGTTACAAAAACCTTATTGTTTTGGTTTCTTCGTAAATATTTCTTTGGTTTTCGCGATTGCTACACATTGGAAATGGAATGGTTTGCCAATCTCAAAATACTCGTCCCTTGTTGCCCAGGATGCGTCAGATGTATAAGAAAGGAAAATTACATCGAAAAAAAATCAAGGTTCATTCAAGTAAAGTTTTTGTAATTGATTAGTAAATCAAAAATTTCTAAAATAAATAAAGTAAATATTTGAAGGAGGACTTTACATTAAAATTTCGGAATTTTAAAATACACTTTTATAAGTTATGTAAGGAAAACCAGTAGCTGTTTAAGGACACCATTTTTATTCGCTTAACACGCTTTTACAACCAAACTCCAACAGCAATATTTCAATTAACGTAACGAATATCTCATTCACCTCTACTCCCTCGCCAAATCAAACGCATAACAGGAATTGCCGCAAGAGGCGCCAATAGTCAATCAAGTCAAAGACTACTTCTTATTTTAAATCGCCAACAATCAAGATTTAGCAATTTAATAAATTAAATTTTCGCACATGTTTTGGAGTTTTTAAAGCAAAACTAACTATTGTATGTATTAATTAATTAATATTACAATGCAATTAATGAATCCATTTGTGGCACTTACTACAATTGGCCATCACTAAACCGTCTATGGTCGGGTCTGTGACTTGTTTGTTTAAAATGGGTTTAAACGAAGTATAACTATACTATGGAATTACACCACCCGCCGTTTTATTAATGAAGTTATAATTGTGTTATATGACATCGATAACGGTATTCTTATAAATTATAGTATATTGCGACTTTTTGAAAACGATGCATTAAGGACAATTAATATTGCATTATTTTCTTACACATGTATAGACAAACGTAAGTAACACCGACAAAAACATATTGCAAACCCGTGAGGCCTAAACTAAAAGGCGGGCCGTAGCTTGATGTATCAACTCATTTGCAATAATTTACATTCCGCTCTACTAAGACAATGGACTGCGTTTGTTATTTATCAATTGAACTTATTGACGCCTGTTACAAAAAAAACTATTTACTAGAGTAGTTTATCAGAATATTTTCTTTTTTTACAAACGAAAATGGTCCTAAAGTTGTTTAACAAAGAATAAAAACCTTTTCGTAGGGTCCAACACTACCCACGATGAGCGCAAACTTGTAAATTTTTTCCAGCTTTTTGAAATTGTGCAACTAACAAGTTTTTATCCATTTGTTAAAAGTTTAACAAAAGATGCGGTCTACACCAAAATCATTTTATACCCCTCGATAAAAAAATCTTATGATTTTTTATTTTCACTGTTCACAGGAAACATAAGTGCGGTGTTCACGTACAAATGGAAGGGTGAGGAGATAGCGCGTCTAATCGACAACGGCACCCGCGTCATGATCGGTATTGTTCGAGGCCGAACTTTCACTAATATTAGCAATAACATCAACAAGTAAGATTTTGGTTTTTTTACAACTTTACTCATAAACGCTGCTTCCTCATTATAACACAAATTTATATTCCCTATTTATTAAAATATTACTTTTGAAGAGGTCTGGAATAATCTATTGTAACTTAAGGTTCACAGACAGGTTACAGATAAACGAAGACCACAAATAAACACATACCGATAGATGGCGCTAGGTTCCAATTAAAACGCTTTGATTAAAGACAACACTGAATACGATTCTAATGTTTTATGTGTGATTTTTGTACAGGACGTCGGTGCTGTTCGTCTCGATCTCGTTCATCGTACTGATGGTGATCTCTCTGGCGTGGCTCGTCTTCTACTATATACAGCGCTTCCGGTACATACACGCAAAGGACCGCCTCTCCGTGAGTTCATTTGACTACTTTACCTAAAGACCCGGGTTCCAGGTCGGCTAATCTAGTTTTGCTGCTTGAACGAGATAAATTTAAGATATGCATAGAATTTACATGGTAGTTTTAGTAAGGCAACATTGATCGTTAGTGACATAATGAATAAATGCCATCACTGCCATTCCACTGACAGACACTCCATTGCAACTAGATTTTAGCACAATAACAAATATTAACCTAATTGGAATACAAACTCAATGCAGTCTCAATGGAGTGATTCAAGGAAGTTAGCAGATTTGGAATCCTGATGACACGGCCATGCTTCTATATGAATAAACACCACACGTCATGTACGCATTAAGAAAACGCGTATAGTTACTCCACTATAGATTTCTCTGTCGAGCAATAGTCGGAAGTCGCATCCGAGGTATGGAGAAATTTTCTGGTGTAGCTTTGATGCCTCCAACTACAGCTACAAAGAAGAGCCTTAAGAGATGAAAAAGAATTGAAAAATATATATCTTATAGATTCTGGGTCTCTAAACCTTTTACTAGCCATGGGCCCTCTCAAAATTTTAAAGAGCCCGCAGTTTCAGAAAAGATAAGAAGCAGAAAGGTTGCATTGACGCGCGTCTCACTCCACTAATAATAGATGGCCGTGAAAGGGAGCGAAAATTCAAAACGGTCACGCGCACAGTTACATATTTATTTACTCACAACATATTGTATACCAATTTTTATAATAATGCATTATGTTAGGTAGGCTCTTCGTGGACCCCCGGCGGAGGATACTTCTTTTCAATAATTCAATAAACGCGATATTTCGAATCGTCACTCACTTAAGTTTTTTTCATCGAAACATATATACAATATTTTCCCTGGCTGTACATATGTATACTGTCCAGAGAAAATGACGAATTGGACAAACTGACGAGTTAAAGATTTACATGGCATTGGCAAATTACAGAAATTGACCAGTTGACGAAAATGGCATATTAACGAAAATGTCGAGTGGTCCCCTAATTGCATGGACAGGTTAAGACATCCTGTTATAGATTATGGTGATGGAAGATTTTTAACCAACTTACTTCATAAAAGTTATCAATAAAACCAGAAGAACTTTAACTGAAGACTGCTACCTGTTATCCTATCACTAATATTCACACGTAATTAAGAGCTTTACTAACTTTTAACTTAAATTGAACTTAGCCCCTCTATACTTTCAGAAGCGGTTGTGCTGTGCCGCAAAGAAGGCGCTCTCCAAAATACCTGTTAAAAGTTTAAAGACTGATGATCGAGTAAGTAAAAATTCTCTTCAAGCTAATAATCTAATATGACATTCATGAATCAAAAGTAATGACGAATGTTCTGCTTCCGGTGTTGGAAAAATATAACACTTTAGGAAGATTTTCTTCTATGGTGTACCAGCGATCTGAATAGTCGTCTTAACAAAGTCACAAATTAATTTAAGGGGCATTGTATACAACTATAACAAGATTCATGTTGATATACAAAATTTGCCATTCACGAGGTTTAAAACTATAGTGATACAAAAATTTTATGCTAAAATACAACTTCTGCGTATTTAGATGACAAAAATCCGTGGTAGTAACCCGTTTAACTCTTAAAGATAGTCTCCATCTATGATGTTTGAAAAAAAAATATATATGATAAATGTGTACAAATGTTTATTTACAAAGAGCATCCCCTAGAGTTTCTTGCTCATTCTTCTCAGGGGAATCTGTCTTAAGAATGTGACTATTTCAAGTGTAATATGCTTACCTATGAACTAAGAAATAATTTTGATTTTGATAGGGTTATCATGAGTTAGACCGTTTGGTACATCGTAAAAGAAATATCGCAAATGCTTGCAATGCAAACTACACTCATAAAATATGGTATTAAGAATGTCTTATCATTATCAATTTAAGCATATTCTATTAAGTATTTTCTTGATGTATCCTTTTATAATGGGACTCACATGTCCAAGATCAAAGCCCCTAAATAAAGAGTTTAAAAAAGCATTGGTTTAAAGACATACTTAAGTTAAAGCGTGTAACACACAGAGAGCGGGTGCGGGTCGGGTTTTGTGTTGTCGTCCATATAAATAGCCGGAATTAGACCCGCCACGGTCCCGACCTGACCCGCACCGCGCTGCACCCGCTTTCTGTGTGTTACACCCTTTAATGCAAGTGGACATAAGTTTCTTACCTCTGCGATTACATTGACTTTACCTACTCTTCAATCTGAAATTGGAAAAATACAAAACTTTTCTAAGAGCTTCTATTATGGTGTACCAGCAGTACCATTATTTGAACCGCTCGGTGCACAATAAAATAAATATCGCAAATGAGCTGCCGGCCGTGGGCCAAAAGACCTTAAGTCTTTTGCCTGTGATTGCGCTTACTTTCCCCACACTTCAAACTAGTTCAATCTGGTACACAGGTAAGCTGCTTTGCGGTAGCAATAGTTATGTATATGATACCTAGTCAATTAAAGAAATGCGGTAGTAATAAAGACCATGTCTCCAATGGACCCAGTAAAACTACTTTTATTTTAATTAAAAGGCAGTAATAGCAGTGGCAGCCCCATGGGAGAACGAAGCTTCTAAATTGAGAGGTCGATGATTAGAATCTCGTAAATACATGCCGCCGTATAGGCATGTATTTACGACTTTCATTTCTAGGTAAGGTTACAATTGTTCCACGTGGAACTGGATATATGGAACTATTGGGAATAAATGGTTACCTCCATTTGTCAATGTCAACTGTACCTCTCGCTAACGGTGAAAGAAAATATCGTGATATAACCTGCATGTCGAAGAAGGTTAGGACTATGGCCTAAATCTTCTATTTAGAGGAGACCCGTGCCAATCAGTGGGACATATAATTATAGGGTTGATATAAATTAAAGTAAAAATATACCAAATTTATTGAAAACGTTATTCCAGTGGAAATAAACACATAGTAAAATAAGGGAAGTATGAGTTACCATATTGTCATAAAGATCACTTTTAAATGAAATAATTGCATGTTCTTCAGGAGGTGCAAGGGGACGGCGAGTGCTGCGCCATCTGCATCGAGCCTTACAAAGTGTCCGAGACACTCAGATCTCTGCCTTGTAGGTAAGTCATATACGGTTTGTTATTAAAAAAAGTGTTCCTCTGCGGCTGTGCAAAAATACATATATATTTTTTGTATCAAAAAGTGCCCATTGTATTATTCAACCAGCACGCGGTTACTTACATGTCTTACTAATATATAATAATCTGAGTACAGAGTACTAAAAAAACCGACCTCAAAGGTTCGTGGAATAACATCTATTTGCCAAGTTTTATTGAAATCGGTTACGGAAACTGCGCGATATCGGATTCATCCCCTAGTTTGTTACCCTCAGAGGTATATTTTCTTCAAATTTAAACGGGCTCAACACTGAGGTACTCTTTTTCCAACAAAAAAAGAATCTTCAAAATCGTTTCACAAAAGCGTTATCCCGTAAACTACATACAAAAAAATACAGTTAAAAAGCAACTCGGTTGGTTGGTATCGTATTCGTCGCTATAATGCTTCCCTATACCTATCATCGCCTTTTCACGGCTGTGACATCAGCTGGGTGGATTCTTTTACGTACGCCGTACTCGCACACATGATATTTATGTAAATTGTGTTGATATTTAATGTTTGCTTTGTTGTTTTTGTTTTTTTATTCTTTCTTGCTGTGTATTTTTGTGTTGTGGCGTTGTAATAAATGGTTTCTATTCTATTCATCCGTTCGAAGAAACGAAGTTTAGGCGTTGACCAACGCCGAGCAGGCGGGAGTTGCATTACTTGCCTAAAACATACTATATAATACCAATATACTATGGTAAAATATAATAAAAATAATATGTTTGTACTTAATTAAATTAGTCAAATTACACCTCTTTCTCCTATATTACTTTAACAACGTTAAACAAGTTTTCCTCCAACAAAAATCAGTAAAAGCAATAATAATAACAGTCAGCCTATAGGCTATAATAATCCCACTTCTGGGCACAAGCTTTCTCCCACGACAAGAGGGCTTCGGTTGTAGTAAAAACAAAGTATGTAAAAATGCGTCATCGAGGTTTACATTCTTTTGACGACTTCGGTGGCATAGCGGCTTGCACTGTGGGCGCTGGATGTGGAAGTCCGGGTTCGATTCCTAGTAGGACGAATTTTGGAAATGAACTTTTCTAAGTTGGTTCTGGGTGCTCCGAAGTGAATTCCGTTGCTCTGGTACTCATAGTACAAAGTTCCCTAGTTTGAGACCAGGCCAGTGGTGTGGTTGTTTGGCACGTTACTCTAAAGCGAGACAATATACAATATTGAACGTACAGTCAACAGCACATCATATGTATACGTTGTATATACTAAATGCATTTACACAACATTAAAACCTCTACAATCACAATTTACTCCTACAGCTGTAATTATATTCACACCGCTCATGCACTTACATATCAAATAAGTTATTTTAAATGCACTATTTACACTTTACTCTGCATATCTCAATGTATAACTTTACGCATAGTTATATTTTTGCTTTTAAATAACTTAATCCCCTCTCATTGGTCCTGACTGAAAACCAGCGCCTTAGGAAACTTTGACATATCGACTGTGAACTGGCAATCGGTACTATCTAAATTTTGACAACTTAACAGTATAAAGAAAAAAATTGTTTGCGTCATTTATATAAATAACATCTGGTTTATTAAATAAAAATACGTGGTTTTTAGATATTTCTATCACACATGTATGTATGTACACTACGTATTTTTATTTAATAAACCAGATGCTTTATAAATGATTTCATCCTGTAAACTTGTCGAAATTCAGATAGTACCGGTTGCCAGTTCACAGTCGATATTTTGAGTCAGTGCCCTTTCACTGCTATGACAATCATGTTACGTTTATTTCTTTTACGCTTAATCTGTATTTGTGTTATATCAGTGAATAAAGTGTTTATTTATCTATCTATACACTTTTGTTCGCATATCGTCTCTAGTGCAACGGTACTAGATACGATAATGTGTAGCTTGATGTGTTGCCGTCTGTACATGTCTGTCTGACCCTGCGCTTTGTTGATGGTCATAGCGTAACAGAAGGCCGACTAAAAACTATACCGTTTAAAACCGTTATTGTGGCTATATGTAACTTACCGGTATATGGTGTCGTTGACTTTTTGCCGGTCTGCTGATGACTAATAATATTGTAGAACACTATTTTCACGTGGTCAGCGCATGCACTTTGTTCCGACTCGTGCATGCGTCATGTCATGCGCGCACGAGATACACTTTAACCCGTCATGATGCCTAGAGACACACTTATAATTTTAAGGTTTTTAGAGGTTCTTGTTTTTCAGGGCAGGGATTTTTTCAATGTTTACTTTGCACTTCTTTAAAATACTTCAAGAATGATGAAATACTTGGAATAATTTCTTCCCACTAGTTCTAATTATTATTATTGAAATATAATTTAATAGAACAACTGGAACAAACAAGTCCCAGTAGTTCTATAATAGAACTACTCAATAGTTTTAGTGGGAGCGAAGGTTTTGATGAACCTATTCGACAAATCGAAAAATGTCACTCATTCTACTTAAATGTATAAAAGAGCTATTGCTATATTAAATTAGGACTTCCGGTAATTGAAGAAATCATATAATATCTCTTTCTTTCTCACTAGACCTAATCTATAAGCAAGTAAGGTTTAAAAACTTCACGAAACCATAATCACTGTTGTATTGTTCCAGACATGACTTCCACAAGAACTGCATAGATCCGTGGCTGCTAGAGCACCGCACCTGCCCAATGTGCAAGATGGATATACTCAAGTACTACGGATTTGTGGTGAGAACTTGAAAATCACAAGAATAGTAAATTGGAATATAATTGACCTCGTATACACAAGGTTTTGGGTCTATTTGGAAATATATTTTTTTGCCATTGAAGCACTCTCATGCGTATGAAAGTGCTTGCTTTAAGTGTTGAAAGAAAACGACTGGGTTTTGTTCAACCCAAAGTTTTGGGTTCAATTCCCATCAGTGCCACCCAAGGGTGCACCGCTCAGTCTTTTCGACTTATGTACAATTTAATCAACTACTTATAACTTGTTCCGAGGATAAAATCGTGATGAAAACAAAATCTTCCAAAAGTTCCCAACCTGCATGGTGTCAGTGTAGTAGGCTGTGTACCACCCTCTTAAAGGTGATCCGTGTCCGGTAGTGGAAGGTAGGTTGAAGGCTTTTTTAAACTGGACCAATATAGAACGTTTCTCTGAAGTGATATGTGCCCAGCACTAACGCACAAGGGTTAATAAGATGCTTTATTACAGTTCACGGGTAGCCAGGAGAGCATCCTACAGCTGGAAGTGGAGGAAGCGAGGAGTCGAGCGCTCAGCCCTGCGAGAAATAGGCATCCTCTCACGCTGGTAATTATATCACTTATATATACGTATATCACTTATCATTCTATTCCATTTTTTTATAAAATCTATACTTTTATCATTAAACTCGAATTTTATTTTATTCCCTTTCGATAGCGGCAATAAACAAACATTAATTGGATTTTTTTATTCCATTTGGTTTTTTTACCACTGGCAACTACTGGGACATTTTAAATTCCGTTTACCGCCAGTGGCAACAAGAGATTTTTTATCCCATTTGTCACATATGGGTTTTTTCCCATTTGTCGCCAGTACAAATCACCACTGGCCACAACTGAGATTTTTTTATCGCGGTTTGTCACCACCTGGTAACATAATATGGGATTTTTTCCCATTTGTTGCCTGTACAAATCACCACTCGCAACAACTGGGATTTTTTTATCCCTTTTGCCACCACCTGGTAACATATGGGATTTTTTTCCCATCTGTCGCCAGTGGGAACAAAGCCAGTGGTGACAACTGGGAATAAGCCGAACAAAATACAAAACAATTCTTTTAGAGGGACGTGTTCACTCTATGCGTATTACTTAAAATTTTGGTAAACTGTTTCTTTTTTCAATTTTTTAATTAATTTTTAAAGTTTTTTTAGCTTATTAACTTTTTTTTAATACACTATAAACTCTTGAATGATAATGAATAGGGCCCGGATTAATATCTAATTACATATTTTTTATTTCATTAATCGACGTTCTTTCATTTAGAAACAAAAAAAGTTACTTTTATTTTCCATATTTACAGGTTTAGACCATAATTCTACACGAAACTTGCAATAATCCATATTTTCAATATTACGTGATATTGTATTTAATTTAAAACAAAAAGGTGCGTGCTTGTTTGAAAAAATAAAGGTTTGAATACACTAAAAAAAAATTAACACTTTACTGTGCGGACGATTAGAACACAACCTAGTCGTGACCTACTCACTTGCGGACTTATGCAAATTTAAGTTTGCTCCAGTCACATTCTGAGACGTCGAAAGGTCATTTAACCAGTACAAAGCGTTGTTCCGACCACACAAAATTTTAATTTTGAAAATTAAAAAAAAACATATAGTTGGGTATTGTAACAATATCAGTAACGAAAATTTGATTGAAGTGGAATAAAATTTGATTTTTTATATATTAAAGCTTGTAGTTGATTTTTTTATAATAAAGCATAGTCTATGTGAAAACAGTTTTTTTTTATTTCCATAATTTTTCCATATTTTAAGATTTTTTGCCCATATCATATGTACAGGGTCAAGAGCACGTCAAGCTTGACACTTAAGATTTAAATTCAACTCTATGCCGCTTACGATAAGAACGAACCAAAGTACAAAATGTCAAGCTTGACGTGCTCTTGACAGTACATAATATTTTATAGTTTATACCGCATATTTATCCGAGCCCTAATAATGCATTTAATTTTTTTTTATTATTTAAAGAGAGTTTGTAATTATTTACTATTGACTTTTCGTTATATTTATTCAACTTAAAAATTAAAGAAAAAAAATTCAAAAAGTTTTCATAAATTTTCTGTTTCTCGCATTCATAAGGATCTTGTTGGAGCTTTTGTGAACTTACAGGTAATAGGAGCTTACAATAAGTAATCAAATAGTTTGTCAAAGTTTTATTTTAATTGCGCGCTATTTCGTCGTAGAAGGTACCATGCCGTTGCCAGGACAATATTTACATTGTCTTATCTTTTCCAGTAACTTAGTTAAATATAATGAGTTATTCATATTCAGCTTGGCATTTGTACCAATGAAAGTTTACATTATGTCTTCCACTAAATATTATGCCCAGTGTATGTGAGCGGGCACAGTTAGAACGTATATGGCAATTGCAGTTGACGAGCGACAATTCGTACGAGGAAGCCGGCAGCGAGCGTAGCAGCCGCGCCTCTTCGCCTGATGAGTTGGTGCCCTCGCTGCCGTCGCACCACCCCGCACTGACCTCTACGCACTGCTCGCAGACCACCAGGTTACCATCCTATGTAGTGTACATATATAGTGCATGTAAATATATAATAGGTAACATACACACAGGGTGTTAGGTAGATGATTGCAAATTTTTAAGTTGTTCTTATCGTAAACAGAATAAGATTTCATAGGTAAAATTTCTAAATACTAAAATTTACTTCCCAATGAAGTTGTTGGCATGTCAAACTAAAATATTCTTTATGTTATAGGTAGCAAGTTTCAGTTGAAGTCGTCACATTGATTAAACTCTATTACTCATTCGCAAAGCAGATTCCCCCGAGAAGAATGATAAGAAACTCTAGGGGTTGCTCTTTGTAAATAAACATTTGTATATATTTATCATTTCCAATATTTACGTATTTCTAATATGAAAGATCAAGGTAAGATGCAAGGACTAAACAGGTCCCTGCCATGGTTTTTGTAGAGTACGCAGAAACTGTGAATGGTAATGAATGATGTTTATTACTCTCACAAAACTTATTTATGACTATACTATCAGTACAGAGTACTAAAAAAGTCCTCATAAGTGCGTGGAATCGGTTAACGAAAACTGGATTATCCCCTAGTTTGCCACCCTTAGAAGTGGAGTATTTTCTTCAAATTTAAATGGGATCGCTACTGAGGTACCTTCTTTCGAACAAAAAGAATCATCAAAATCGGTTCACAAATAGGTTATCGCATAACATAAAAAACACAGTCGAATTGAGAACCTCCTCCTTTTTTGAAGTCGGCTAAAATACAGAGTTTTGTTACTATTATTGCACATTGTGAGTCCGGTGTCAGTACTAGGGTTATTATGCCTCTATGATTAATCACATTATATGTACATATAATAATTTTTAGTGTAAAGTTTTTTGTATCACTATAGTTTTAAACTTCATAAACAATCGACTATGAACTGGCAATCGGTACTATCTCAATTTTGACAACTTTACAGGGGAAGAAGAAAAAAATTGTTTGCATCATTTATATAGCATCTGGTTTATTAAATAAAAATACGTAGTTTTTAAATAATTTTTTTACACATGTATGTATGTACACTACGTGTTTTATAAATGATTTTTTCTTCACATTTTGTACATCATCCGGAACCTCATATAGGATTGTGTCGTGGTCGTGGAATGAAACTATGGACGACTGAACTAAATGTTGTCGTCTACCAGGTCGTGCTCAGTGACGCCTCCTGGCTCCCCTGAGGCGTCGGCGAGTGGGTCCAGCAGCCAGCAGAACTGAGGGTTGCTTCCGCGCGCCCCCCGCGCGCCCCTCACGCGCCGCGCGTGGCGCCAGCGCCTGCGCGTCACACTCGCGTTACTGGCCAGCGACCAAACGGTCGCACGACTCCACGGCCAGACGGTCGCACGATTGCAGTCTCAAATGCACCGCAGTGATGTGTTCATCGGCCCTTAAATACTCAGAAAAAAAATTACCCATATCAGTTGGAACTTCCAGTGAACGTGTTCAAACGGTGGATGAAAAAAGTGATATTTTTTGCTATAAGGATATTTTGTAGTTTCGTATGTGTAGAACCTTTAACCGCCACTCCGCCTAGTCAACGAAATAGTGTTCTTTGTCAACAAATATTACCTGTTAAGCAAGCAATTTTCCCTCAATAAGCTTCGCCACACGGAACGCAAGCCATAGCCGCCACCGACCCGCGCTCCGCGTGGCGAAGCCTAGAAAGCTGTCGTTTGTACTTAATATTAATTTAATCGGTCCATGATCTCATACGTACGTTACCTTGTATGTAAAACTCTTGGAACCTTTTATAGCGAAATGTATGAGAAGCTATCGAATATAGCGCCTGACCATTTCCTCAAAAATAAAATTATACAACCTAGTTGCTATACAAAAATATTATTTTTATATTAAAAATTTGAACTAGGTACGTGCCAAATACGTAACTTTTTCATGTATAGAGACGTATGAAAAAATGAAATTGTAAACGTGTCGTTTCATACACACAAAACAAGCCGTCACGTCAGATTGCGACACATTAATATATGAAACCAATACCGCTCTGACGCGTCACGACACAACATATCAGACAAATGTAAATCCGGCTTAACATACATTCAAGTTGCAAGATTTATTTTTGTTTGCACGATATGTATTGTACAAACTCGTTTGTATTTTTTTATCTGTAGAACATTACTACAGTATGCTTATTGTAATTTTTCATGTATTCTATGTACATAGTTGTATTGAAGACCATAGGGGCTTGAAAGGCGATATTTATTAGTTAATTGCATCTTAATAACTAGAAGTTTGGAAATGGTCAGTTTATTGTAGGTTGTGGTGCCCCAATATAGTTAATAATCTTTGTGCGGACGTAACATTGCTCTTGTAGCATTTCTTGCACGTAACATTAAATTTTGACCGAAAAAGTTATTTACATATACTTCGTTTTTTAAGAATTGCAAAACCTGTAACAAAGAAACAGTGATCGTAAACCTTTTTCTTCAGTTAACAAATTACAGTAAAGTAAATATCATGAGAATTGATGACAAATGATACGACAATATGTTGTTATTTTAGAAAAAGTTTTATGTTTAGAACCTCTGTCATTTTAAGTTTTTTATAACGCATAGATATAATAATAATAATAATACGTATGTAAAGATATAATTTGTTAATAATATATATCATCTAATTTGTGAATAATATATAATCTTTAGTGAATGTTACTAGTAAAAAAAGTAATAGTTACATAAAGGCTGTAAATATTTTGATTCACGGCATTTGTGAAATTACTTTGCTTAGAATATGACTGATTGAAATGGAGCTTGATCAAATTTTCAAAAATTTCCTTCAGCTAAAAAAACGAAGTTTTAGAAGAAGATTTAGAAACAACATTTCATGTTCTGACTTTTTTATGAGACCAAGTGATGGGACGATCAAGTCGTGCATCTGGTGGTAAGCGACACGCCTGTCCTTAACAGTTGCAGTGCCACTCGGAGCTTTAAATCGTAAAGATCTGAGAGGCACTGCCACTGCACCCGTCACCTTGAGACATAAGTTGACAAGTCCAATGTGCCTGTAATTTCACCAGCACCCTTGCTCTTCTACACCGGAACGCAGTAATGCTTGGTGGGAGAAATAGGTAAGGTGGCAAAATTTCACTGGACGAACTCTTTCACAAGGTGCTCTACTGCTACTAAAAATATGTGATGTTAGATAATTTATTTTAGTCAAAATTTAATGTTACGTTCATTAGGGACGATATATTTGTTCTTTTTTATTTTTAACAGCCAATACTTAGATTATCTAATATTAAAAATAAATTTGCAAAGAAACGACGTTACATTGACTGAAACTCTATGAGCTATATCACGAGATCCAACCAAACGCGTTGAGATCAATGTTCGCTTTGGCTATTGTGTTCACCAAGCTGTCAAATTCAATTCTAACCGTTCTATCGTCATCACGAATTATTGGCATTTCAATTCGGCGCAAATTTTAACCCAAAACGCATCTCTGTAAAGTAACATTTACAATGTATACTGCCAAAGCAAATGTGGACATAACCACGCGAGGTTTGCATACCTATATACGGGGTTATTTGTAAAACACTTAACAACTTCGCTGAACAATAAACAACAACTTTTGTTTCATAATTTTTTACACAACTTAATAAAACCAAAAATAAACTTTTCAGTTATTGTTGTACTATCTGACACTTTTAAGTTCTGTACTTGGTAGTAAGACTGTAAGATCAAATGTGTAAACGTCCTCCTCGATGACTCCCATCCCCGCTCTTGCGTTTTTCATCGTGACACACAGAGTTATCACTGTTCTACACTATTTCAATATTTTTATTTTTGTGCGAAGGTAAAATCTGATAAATTATTAAAAATCATAAAACAAAAGTTGATGTTTATGGTGTTATTAATATAGTTATACAGCTAGTTATTTATTCTATCTATATATAATATATATAGCGAGTACAAGACACGAGACAATTACCCTGTCTGTATGTAACATGTTCTCCGTCTACTGATCACTTCATCGTCTAATAATGCTATAAACAAATTGTACTTAAAATTATAATCCGAACGCTTACGTAACAGTCTCATAGGTTCTACTACCTTGGCATCTACAAATGCTATTCTAACTTTAAAAAATGCTAAATTTCTCAATTTCATATTTAAAGTAGTGCTATATGAAACTATATACACACAAAGTTTTTTTTAATACATAATGGTTTTTAGCCAGATGCATAAACAGATATTTGCAATTTGAATACTTATGTTACTTTATGTATATTACAATAAATACTTAGAAATCATAAATACACTCTTCTGCAAAAATAGCAATTTTTTTTTTCATAGTGTATGTAGATGCTGTCTCTTGTTTTGGTCCCTAGTACTATCGGCAGAATTGACGACTTTCCAGTCTCAAACTAGATTTTTTAGACAACATCACATGCGTTGCTCTGATCTCAAAGTAACTAAAGCACTGTCATGGAAATCGGAAACAACGACAGTACCACAAACACTTGACAATATGGAATTTTTTTTTCCACATTAACCCGACTTCAGAGATGGCGGCCCCAAGAAAACCGGTGTGCAAGCCACTCGACCACGGAGGTCGACAGATTTCTTTGCAAGCGAAGATTGTAGCTAGCCCCGTTATTTATATTTTTGAATTTTATCGTGAACATCTTTTGTTTATAATAAAAATATGATCTAGCTCTTTAACGTCATTGACTGACTAGACCAAGATAGCGTGTGGCGGTTACTTATCGCCAATTCCTGCACGCAAAAAGAACCCTTAAAGTATTAATGCGTTGACTTTGCTGATAATACATTAGGCTTTCTAACGGACAATATTGGTGTAATATGACCCAATCTGAAAAGTGAATAGATATACAAAATACTAAATAGTACTTGTAATATTTCTTGATATAAACGATAGATATGTATTAATTTAATACCTAAAGTCATTGCGTAGATTTCATAATAAAACAATTAATAGTATCTTTAATCAATATCATCGTTATTCATGTTATATACGTATTCGTATTATACACTATAAGCGTTATAATCGCCATACATAATTACTTACATATTAAAACAGTAGAAAAATATAATCATATTTCCTATGATACTTTACATAAGTTGAGTAAAAACTAATAGAAGAAAATCTTTTATAAATCAGACTAGTAAATATAGGCTATGCCGTAAATAGTAGAAAAATTATGTAACATTAAAATTACGATAACGCGTTCACATGAACCACGTTTAATTTGAAAAAAGAATTATTTAAACTGTCTTTTCATTTCGATTTAATGTTCTGTGCTCCGACCATGAGATCAAACCATGGCGAGTGTTACATTAAACATGCGGTCGAGGTGTTGGTGTATGTGGCCAATAGTTCATGTCAACTTTGTATCATAATTCAACCTTTTTTAGCGTTCCTCTAAATATGTGAGTATATTTCAAGTATTGGAGCTGCTATTGCAATTTTCTTCCTCATCATTTCGATATTGCAATCAAAAGTTTACCTTATAGCTTCAGATATAAGGTAATTAATTTGGGTTATTTACGCCGCTCATATTTAAATGTTTCGAACGTTTTACTTGAAACCTTCAACGAGTACATGTCGATATCAGAACATACTCGTAGTAACTGTACTTGTAATTAAATAAAAGGTTACCCCTACTTGTTTAGATATAAGGGTGATATTTGAAGTGGCGTACTGGATTAACGAGGTTCTATTTGTCTGTTTGTGTAAATTCTGGTGATTCTAACAAAACAAACAGCAACAAAACTCAAAACAAATTTTTTCAATAACATTTCTGAAATAATATTTTACATCATATACATGACTGATGATATAGTCTGAAATTAACGAAAAAATTTAATTTTCACCAATTGTATAAGTTTTATTAGATTCCGGGTCTATGTAACAGCCACATATTATAGAATGTATGTACCTGTGTATGAATGCTGTGTATAAAAGATAATAGCATGAGTTAATTTGTCTTATGTTTAGTTATTTGCTGTACAGACGGGGACCATAACCCAATTGGTGTCAAAAGTGTGTTTACATATAAAAACGAATATTTGTTTGTATGTGTGTCGAGTAAGCGTTCCATTCTTATTCATTCGATTGCGATAACGTTCGTGGGCTGTGCCCACACCCGCAACCTTTCTGAAGTGTTAAAAGAATTTTAAAATGAGCTAGTAAAATAAAGTAATGTTAGCACCGCCAAAGAGACTTTATGAAAAAGCTCTTTCTAATTTTCTAAATTATACTTGATCTTGTTTTGTTTAATTCAATTTAAAGTTATAAACTTAATAAATAAAAAGACACAATTTGTGAGATACAGAAGTGACCCGTACATAACTGAAGAGAATTGGCACCAATGTTACGGTAACACGAACGAACGCTGGACCTAGGCTGTACATAAATGTACTATAAACACTAATTTCGTGGCAGAGAAATGGTAGTTAATAAAATCTAGTCTGAACATTTCATAACTATAACGCTTTTAAATTCAATTACATTTTGAGTTCTTAGGTTTTCGCGATTGTTACACATAGGAAATGAAACTACTTTTCCGAATTTAAATCACGTTTTTAAAACAAATATACGCTATTTAAATCAGGAATAATAGTTTCATTTCAATTACATTTTTTAAACGCTTTCAGTGTAGGTCTATAAGTAGTTGCGTACAGTGCCAACATAAAAAATTAAAAAGTTGAATTTAAAAGCGATAGTATTCGTTCAAACTTTATGTTTAAGTAACAATATTATAATTAAGTATTAATAAGTGAGCATTTAAGTTATTACTTACGCAGTACAGCTAAGGTACTTATTAGAAGTCCGTCGGATTTTATATTAACAAGGAGACTGGTATGTACTTTGTAATAACTCTAAAAGTTGTAAAATATTTACATTCCCATCACGTGAAAATGTCATCGTACTCATCGTGTACGTAGCGTTGAATAAAACCAATACAGTATTGACATTTGAGTTTTATTTACAGTATAAAAATTCATACTGAATGTGTAACAAGACCCCCGCATATGCGTTCGATGTTTCTCGACCTTTTAGGTCAAGAATAGAACAAATTTAATCTGCCTTCGTGACCGAACGGTTATCTTGCCGGACTGCCACGCAGAATTTCGTGGTGGTCGCCCGTTCACTGCTGTGAACAACAAAAACAGCGATGCTGTGCGCCGTATGATCAAAAAAGACAAGCATGTGACATACCATGAGATTCATGCATCTTTAGGCATGAGTCAAATACAATCAATACAACCCAAACATTTGGGTGTGAAAAAACTGTGCTCTCAGTGGATCCCACACAATTTGACTGAGGTTCAAAAAATGGATCGCGTCAGTTGGTGCAATGCCATGCTCACCAGATTCTACAAAGGGGCGTCAAATTTGGTGTGGGACATAGTGACAGGTGACAAAACATGGATTTATAGTTAGGATCCCAAAACAAAGCAACAATGTAGCGTATGGGTCTTTGGAGATGAGCCCAAACCAACCAAAGTGGCGCGCGTGCAAAGTGCCTCTGAGCTGATGATTGCTTCTTTTTTTAATAAAACTGGACACGTAGCTACTGTTGCTTTGGAGAATCGTTGTACCGTGAATAGTGATTGGTACACGACCATTTGTTTGCCGGAA